TGGCTCTGTCCACTGCTCTGGTATGATCTCATCATTCAGTGTTCTTAATAATAATAATATAGATTAAGATTGTTATTACACTCCTGAAGTGCAGAATAATCGAGTTGTACAGGATTTGACACCTAAAATGGAGAATTATCAGTGCATGTAAGGCAGCTCTTTTCTCGATTTGGGGCTTAAAAATAGAAAAGGATAAATATAGTACAACCCACCTACTTTATTGTGGCCAATAATGTTATGAAGAGAAACAATTGAACTTTGAATTGCATGTGTGGACCCACCTATGGGAAGTGAAGACAAATTAAATGTACATTAATCCAAGACGGTGTTTGCTGCTATTGTACAGGCACTACAGTGGGCTGAAATATAGTTCTATTTTACTGGGCGCTAAAGACATAATATTGAAAATATCCATTCTCTAATAAAATCAGACCCTTAATCCTGTGGAGTTTTAGGGAAGAAATATGGAAATATTTTCAAAACAATTAACTGTTTCTGAATTCAGAGATTGACCATCTGCTCTCTAGTTCATGATTGTATGGCTCTCCTTTTTCCTGTGGTACATAACATATTCCTGTAACAACTACAACTAGTTGACATGGAAAAATAAAAACATTTGTATAACTTTTTAGCTGTCTTTTTAGTAGAAATTATCTTTTGGAAATAAGGTGCAGCTGGCACTTCATGACAAAACAGCTGTCCCACTAGATTCTCTATGACCAGAGATTGTCAAGCTCTGTACTTCTGGGTTTTAAAAAAAAAATCCTATAGACAATGTCATCCTATGGCTCCAGACTATATAGTGTGCTGTTGGGCACTTGACAATAAAATCCATTCAAGTATATTAATACAGTTTTGTCTAAACTGCCTATTAGTGGTTATGCCATGTTTGTTGCCGGCAAAAGTCTTTTAATTATCCTTGCATGGCAACATTCATTTTGATGCTAAATGTTGGATGTTTGAATCTGAATCCACAACCCATTTAAAGCTGCATTCCATTGCTGAGAAACTGTGAATTTACAACAGACAGTCCATTTGACTGTTAAACGCTTGACCATATTATAAATCGTTGCATATAAGGAGCACTATTCCTTGGTCTTAGTACATTTAAAAGGCACTCCTGGCCAAAAAGAAACATGTAAGAAATACTTATTTCGATTTTATTTTACAATTAATTCAGGTGTCTGATTTTTATAAATATAACTTATCCATGGTACCAGACCTACTTAAAGTGTGAGATGTGCAAAGATTAGAACATGTGAAATTACACTGTGCCAAGAGACATGAAAGAACATAAATTGCTGTATAATCTGTTTTCTACTGCTGAAAAAATTTATTAAATGTTTCCAAGTATGAAAATATCTCCCCTGAAAACATGTTGGTTTCATATATACACATTAGATTTTTTTTGGCAATTGCTGTCTTCACAGAGCTGTCAGATATTGTACCCACGTCTGATCTGGTGGAATGAAGAACTGCAGTCAGTGTTCTTGATTTGGCATAATAAACAAGCACA